AAGGAGGACAGAATGATGAAAAGGGCAATCAGCTTCAGGGCTATCCCACAAAAACGGGGAATTTCATGCTTGGAATCCTCCAGAGAGGAGGGATCCTTGCAAAGAGAAAGAAGGATCCACAGCCAAGCCTTGAAGCAAATTAGCAGCAAAGCTACACTCGGTAGGCTCTCTTCCATTCTGGGCACTGCATCTTAAGGAAGAAACGACAGACCTAGGAAAGGGGCCAAGAAGGGCAAAAAGGAAATAATGGAAAGAGGCTGGTTGCAGACACACACACACCCTCACCCCATTTGAGGCGCTAAACAGTCTGGAGAGAGAAAAGGATCTGGCCCTCTTTTGCAATGCGGAGTCCTTCCCTGAACCAAAATGTAAAAAGACTCAGGCCAAATGAAGAGGGTTCTGCCCACAGCAGAGTCCAGCTTGCAGGGATAGGCAACCTTGGCTCTTTTATGATTCGTGGACTTCAACTCCCAGAATTCCTGAGCCAGCGTGGCTCAGCTTGGAAGCCTCTCCCTTTCCCCTCAGCATGGCTGGCTCAGGAATTCTGGGAGTTGAAGTCCACGAGTCATAAAAGAGCCAAGGTTGCCTACCCCTGAGGGAATCGCTGCTGGTTGCTATAGGGGTGGCAGCCAATTGGGGAGGGGTGTGTGTGTGTGTGTGTGTGTCTGAAAATCCAGTCTCAGATGGGTTGGCTAGGATCTGGCTCCCAAGGACCCTGAGAGTGCCCAGGTTGTTCAATTACAGACTTGGAAGGGACCTTGGAGGTCTTCTAGTCCAACCCCCTGCTCAAGCAGGAGACCCCATACCATTACCTATAGCACTTGCAAGCAGCTGATGGTTGAGAGAGAGAGAGGAGAGAAAGTGGGCTATGGCCTGATCCCAACAGGGGCTCTTGGGGGGCATCTTTGCTGACTGACCCCCCCCGTGGGAAGCGGGTTCCTAAGCACACCTGGACAGGTGGGGGGGCGGGGCCTGAGACCGGCAGGTGCAGGAACCCTCGCCTGCTTGATTTGGATCAGTCCCGGGAACAGCCCCCCCCCGAAAAGCTTGGGGCAGGAACTGGTTGCGCCCCCTTCCCCCCCATCCCCGGCTCACCTGCTCCCGCTGCTCCAGGCTGATCTCCAGCCGCTCTTCCTCGCGCGTCGGCCGGACGGGGCGGACCAGGGCCGGGGGCGTGAAGCAGGCAGGCCGGTCCAGCTCCTCGGGCTCCACGCCGCGGCCGTCCCGCAACCTCGCCCAGGCGGCGCTCCGGGTCCCGCCGCCCCACGACCGGGAAGGTCCCCCCGGCGCCCCCTCCTCCTCCTCGCGGAGTTCCTGCACGGCGTCTTCTTCCAGGGTCCCGCGGCGGCTGGCGGTCCCCTCGGCCGGGCGCTTGGCGGCGGGCCGTTCCCGGAGCCCGTCCTTGAAGGCCGAGACGGCCAGGCTGACCTTCTGGACCTGCTCCACCGTCTGCCGCCGGGACATCAGCACCCCCATGGCTGCCTCTGCGGAGACACCCCGCGGGTGAGGCCGGGCTCCGAGGCGCAGCGCGCCCGACCGCAGCCCTCCCGCCTCCGCTGCTCGCCGCCGTCCCGCCGCCTGCGCGGGTCCGGCCTTCCCCTCCTCCAAGGGAGCCCGCTAGGACGACAAGGACACCCCCGGGCAGCCTCAGCTTTTCTCCGCAGGGTCTTCTTCCTTCGCCTCCCCCCACCCTGAACAATGTCTGGAATGTCCTTCGGGAGGGCTTTTGGGGGAGGAGGGGCCCCTGCCGCAGCGCCCCCCAGCTGATCTTGAACTTCAGCAACCCCCCCCCCAAAGCCAGCCCCGGTGGGTTCTGCAGGACCAGGGGCTGCCTTGCTCCTCAGATTGGGGTGCTCCAGCTGGGTTGGGCTATGACTGGCACAAGACACCCAGATGCCCCAAGAGAAGGAAACTGGCAGGATGGTTCGGTTCCCTCTTAAGTGCATCAGAATTTTCTTCAGGTCTAGGAGCAATTTGCACACCCACACACATACACACACCATTTCCTGGAGTTGCCTCATTTCCACCCACCCCACACTGCAAGAACGGTGTGTTGAGGACTGTAAAGCTGGGACTGGGCTCCGATCACCCCTATTCGACTTCTCGGTTCTCTTGGAGCTGCTTCCCCCAGCAGACCCCTCCTCTCAGCTACCGCACATCGACCAACTACAAAGGTCCCGTATTAAAGACAGCGGCCAGCTAAAATGACTGCAAAGGCAGGCTGGAGGAAAGTCCCCAGGGGAAGCAGCTGAAACCGAAGGGGGAGAAAGCTCTTGGTTTTCCTCTCACTGGGCAATTCCTTCCCAGCAACCCTCCCCAGCTGTTTCCCACACCTCCTCAATCCCGTTAATTTTCTCCCTCTTGGGAGGAAAAACATCCCTTTGCCAAGATAGGAGTGAGCAAAAGGGTGCACATTATAGTATCAACCTTGTCAACTCTCAAGTTTCCTCTTTCTGCTTTGTCTTCAAAATGGACAGTGATTAGAATATGAATATGTATGTATATGTATATGTATTTATGGGTGTAGATCAGATATGTCAAACACAAGGCCTGGGGGCGGGATGTGGCCCGCGACGTGGTTTCATGTGGCCCGCGAAGCCATCCTGGAAACAGTGAGGGAACAGCCCCCGTTGCCTTGGCCCTCACCCAGGCTGGCTGGGAGCCAATGTACAATTTTGTGGTGGCCATCTATGCTGAAACGCATTCAGTCTTCGCTCCACAAGGCCGTCTAGAAACAGTGAGGAACCAGCCCCTGCCGCGTCGGCCCCACCCCCTGGGTGCATGCAGGGGAGGTGTCACCCTTTATGAGGAATGAAGAAATGGACCATGCCTTGGCCCTTGCTCCGGTCCCCTCCCCTTCTGCCAGAGACCCTCAGATCTGTCCCACTCCTGCCCAGGCCCCCACAGGCACCATTGACGCGAACGATGTACAGCAGGCCATGCCCACCCAGTAGGCCACACCCACTCCATCCACGCCCACCCAGTAGGCCGCCCCCCCCAGGGCAACTGCAATGCTGATACGGCCCTCAATGAAATTGAGTTTGACACCCCTGGTGTAGATAATATGTATGTATATAGCATGTATGTCTCTGTGTTATGTATGTGTATGGGTAGATATACTTTCTTTTGAGAGTAAGCAACAGAATTTCGTTTTTAATGTGAGCCAGTGTGTTCACAGTAAAAAATGACAATAAAAGTTATCTTAATCTTAAATGTATTACATTAGAATACAGAAGACCAGAGTTGGAAGGAACTGTGGAGGTCTTCTAGTCTAACCCCCTGCTCCAGTAGGAGGCCCTATACCAGGGGTAGGCAACCTTGGCTCTTTTATGACTCATGGACTTCAACTCCCAGAATTCCTGAGCCAGCATGGCTGTTTGGAAACCTCTCCCTTTCCCCTCAGCATGGCTGGCTCAGGAATTCTGGGAGTTGAAGTCCATGAGTCATAAAAGAGCCAAGGTTGCCTACCCCTGCCCTATACTATTTCAGCAAATGGTTGTTCAGTATATTTTTGAAAACCTCCAGTGATGGATGTCCCACAACTTCCGGAGGCAAGCCATTCCACCGATTAACTAACAGAATAACAAAGTTGGAAGGGACCTTGGTGGTTTTCTAGACCAACCCCTTACTCAAGCAGGACACCTATACTGTTCCAGACAAATGGCTTTCCCGTCTTTTCTTGAACACCTTCACTGATGGAGCACCCACAAGTTCCAAAGGTAAGCTGTTCAGAAGATGCTCAGCTGGATACATAAAAGGCCTAGTAAAAATTCCGAACACAAAACATTTCACCTTCTTGAAAGAGGGTCAAGTTGCAAAAGAAGATGGCAGACGAGTCGGGCCTGGTTCAGCCTGAAGTTCGAGAAGGAAGGCTAAGAATATCTCAGCTTGAGTTAAGAAAGAATTGCATCTGAATGTTTGCTGCTGTTCAGGGCAGGCAGAATATGAGAACAGACAGGAAAAGGCAGCGAAGAAGCCTTTTAGCAGGAGATGGTAAGAGCAAGACACAGCTAAGGACAGTTCTTCATTTTTACTCAGTTTAGAGCTTCACAACCAGAAGAACCGCACCCTGCTGAAGGAACCAGCTTATCTCCTGGACCAGCCTTTGCCTATTATCTTTAATGAGTCCTGGGCAACCGGAGAAATGCCAGATGATTAAAGAAAAGCAAATGTCACTTTATCTTCAAAAGGAGGATCTGTAGACCAGCCAAGCTGAAGTCAAAGTCTAAGAAGATTCCCGAGCGGATCATAAAATGGTTATTCCAAAATACCTTTAAAACGGGGGTGTCAAACCCGCAACGTCACGTGACGTGTCACAATGTATTGCGACTTTTTTCCCATTGCCAGCAATGGGGTGGGCGCGGTTTTGCCATGATGCTTCTGGCAGTTTGACACCCCTGCTTTAAAATAATACAGTACTAAAAATTGGCATGGATTTGTCAGGAACAAATCTTACTTGCCCAACCTTTTTTTTTTTTTTACTGCTTAATGATTATTTTATTCATTGTTTTTTCTCATTATTGTGAGCCACCCAGAATTACTTAAGCTGAATGGATCTACAGGTCTTTTAAATCAATCAATCAGTCAATCAATCATCAATCAATTAAAAACATAAATAAATAACCCGTATCTCATTTCTTTTGATGGGGAGATTCCTTAATAGATTGTGGCGATGCTGTGACTTGGAGTCTTAGGGAACACTATCCAAATACTGTGAACAAGCCAAAAACCTTACCTCATAATTAGGAGCACTTAAATGTAGGTGGATGGTATGACATTAAGTGGATACATAGCTGGTTAAAAAAAAATCAAACTTCAAGAATGCTTATTAATAGCTAATCCTTAAATTGGAGAGCAATAGCAACCAGAAAAGGACAACTCATCCTAGCCAACTCCCTGCGGGGACAACTTGCTGTGGAAACAACTTGCCAGACAGTTTAACACGGGATAACTCAACAGAAGGACAAGTGAACTGCAGTTCACCCTAATTACTAACTTGAGAAGGTTCGGACCTAAAGCAAGACAAGGCCCACTGCAATTCACTTGTCCTTTTCTTGAGTTACCCCCTGTTGAATTCTCCCTGCGGTGAGCTGGCTGGGGCGAGTTGTCCTAGACATGTATCAAGAACCTGGCCTGAGGATCAATCGTGATCTTCCACTCTTCAACATCATGACTTTGGAAGGGATGTTCCCTGCATGCAAGAGACAGAAGACTGGGTGGCAGCAATAAAATTCAGAAAGATCTCGAGGGGGTACAGAAACGAGCTGAAAATAAGCAAATGAAAGGGAACAGCAGCAAAGAATAGCAACTCAAAGGTAGAGGACCAGGGTGAGGTATTCCTGAAAAAGTGACTTGGCATTATAACTCAATGTAAGGTTAATGTAAGCCAACTACACAATATGGAAAGAACGGCAGACGTAATCCCAAGTTGTCCCAAGGGAAGGACAGCTTCTAAATCTTGGGAAGCCACTGTGCTCCTCTCTTCTGCACAATCCATCACTCCTGAAGATGGATTCAGAGAAATGAAGGTGGGTTCAGAGAACAGCATCAAGGATGATCAAGGGGCGTTCTAGAAACTTTTATGAAGACACAGGGAGAAAGAAATGGAGAATGTTTAGCCTAAAAAAGAGAAGATTGAGAGAGACACACAAAATCTCTTCAAAAATGCCATCGAGAAGAAAGGCAAGATGTTTTCTCCACCATTTCAGGGTACCAAACAGAGAGTGATGGAGTTGAATTGAAGGAAGATACTCCAGCTGAACACCTTCCTTCTTCTCAAGGAGACATGAAACCCAAACAGGTATGAGGTTGTCTCTCTTTTCAGCATCTTCACTCAGCAACTGCTCTTGATGTCCTTCATCTCCTGAATCTGGTCATCAGGCTGTCCTTATGTCACAACAATTCAAAGCTTTTGACTGAAGTCTCATGCTGAAAAATTGGAGAAAGCTAAAAAAAATTCAGCAGGTGTGGTACTCCAGACGACATCTGGAATACTGCATCCAGTTTTGGCATATCACTTTATAAAAAAGATGTCGAGACTTTGGAAATATTGGAGAGAAGAAGAACAAAGATGATAAATGGCCTGGACGCTAAAACATTTGAAGAATGGTTGCAGGGATTGGCTAGTCTAGAGAAAAGAGGGACTAGGGGTGACGTGATAGCAGTCTTCCAATACTGCCACAAAAAGAGGGGGTCAACCTATTCTCCAAAGTACCAGAAGGCAAGACAACAAACAATGAGTTGATATAATAAGAACTGTACTAGCTTGAATACGAGACAGTAAATGTTAAAGGGAAAAAGAGAAGAAATATCTGATGTTGTAACTTGAGATTTGTAGTAAAGATTTTGTTATCGAACTATTGATTAACCCAGTCGCCATGTTGCTTTTTAAATAATTTAATGTAAAATTGAAAAATTAATAAAATATTATTTTTTAAAAAAGAAACAATGGATGGAAATTAATCATGGAGAGAAGC